TTATTATTATTATGAATAAATCGCTAAAAAAAAGGAAGCCTTTTTGTCATTTTCATGTAGTGCTTAATAAATTAAATGATACAACCATAATGTGCGTCTATTCGAAATATGTTAATTAAAGGCCCTTTGAAATAACTAAATGACAGTTTTTACTACCTTTTCATATACCTCAGCTTGTGAAATCCCTACCCTTTTAGATACCTGAAGCCTAAAAAAGATGCCACTTTGCGGGGGAGCCCCCCGTATAGGTCATTATAGGGATTTTTGTAGAAGATGTTACTCCTTTTACATGTACCTGTCTACGCGAGAGGAAAAATCAGTTGAATTTGTCCACTCTGGGGACTTCAAGGCAGCGAGCAAATCTTTTTATATTTTTCGCACCAGCTTAGTTCGTTTAGAATCGAATTTGGAGTTGACAAAAATAGTTAAAAGCTAGCATTTCATTTTAGTTTTGTTCAATATATTTGTTGTGCTTTTCTTTTTAGACTCTAAGAGACTCGCTTGACTGCATGTACGACGCTAGAATTCCTACTCACTGGAAAAAGGTATATAGATAAACAGGGAAGAAAAAAATACAAGCAACAGACGGGTTAATATTGCTACACACTCTCCCCAACCTAACATGGAAGTAGAATTCTTCCCCGTTTTTCTGTTAGTAATACTTACAGTTTTCACCACGTTTGAGTCCGTCAGCAGACGGATTTCGTTGTCGAATTAGACGTCGATTCTTGCCGGATAGATTTGGGTGGAATCGTGTTGCAAGTAGGTTCTAATCGGTGAGCCCTCGTATAGCTAAACTGAGTTGCGTTTTCTTTTTTATCTTAGATCTCCTGGGAATCCTCCACGTTGGGATTCTGGTACACTGAACTGCTGGAAAGAAACAGTCAGTTCAGAAGCTGGTGTTTTGAAGGAAGACCCAATGTGTTTTGGATGACAGGGTTTTTTAACCCTCAAGGATTCCTGACGGCCATGAGACAAGTAATAATCATCTCAAATTGTGTTCTGAGTTATTTTTTTTCGACTAATTACAGAATGAAGTTACACGGTGCGTCCCGCAAAAATGTGCGCTTTTTCTTCACAATCGGATTTTGTGGAAGTAGTATGAGTAGTACTATGAAGGATTCTTCCCTTCTCTATCTCTGTTTGTCGCATTTTCAATCATGAATTTTGAAATCCCTCCTCCTGACATTTTACTTTCTAAACGACAATACTGTCCAGGAATTAAGTGTTTAAACCATGCTTTCCCTCAAGTACAGTTGTGGCAATAATCGAGTTTGAGATGGGAACAATTACTATTGCTTTCATTTTTCAGGAGGTGACTCGTGCACACAAGGGCTGGGCCCTAGATTGTGTTGTACTGCATAATGACGTCACGCGGTTCTTTAAAGATGACATCACTCAGCCCCCGACAGAAGGGGTCTATGTACACGGCCTGTACCTTGACGGTGCCGGCTGGGACCGCAGAGGTTGCAAGCTTGTAGAACCCACTCAAAAGGTTCTCTTTACGTCCATGCCTGTCATTCACATCTACGCAATTAATACAACTGCTGGGCGAGATGCCCGGATGTACCAGTGCCCGATATACAAGAAGCCCAGAAGAACGGATCTGACGTACATCGCAAGCGTGGACTTGAAAACCAATCAGAATCCAGATCACTGGATTTTGCGCGGTGTTGCCCTGTTGTGTGACATCAAGTAAAAAGTCAAGAACGAGATCATTTGTAAAAACCTGTTTTTTAAAGAGATTTCCAAATGGTAGTCCTCTGTAGCTCCCGATTGCGTGACTGTAACGCCGCCCCTTTAGCTGTAGTGTAACGCAGAACTGAAAGACAGTCCTTTTTAAAGCACTATTTGTATTATATTATAACGAAGAATTGTCAGAGTATATACTGTAGTTGTCCTTTGAATGTTATTTATTGACTGTTTTTTTTTTAAGTATCATTTTTCACTGCCAAAATCGTTTTTAGTGCTAACAAAGAAAGCGAATTCACAAACAGAACTTTTTATTTAATATAGTGTAGCAGCAAGAAAGGATGATCTGAACATGTTGAACATGTTGTGGCAAATAACCAGTCTTGTAAAGAAGTTTTACGTGAGTCGTTTTGTCAACCAAGGTAGGAAGGATTTAACCTTCACGAGAAAATCTTGTAGAATAAAGATGATTTATGCATTCTAAATTATCTTAATTGATAACTGTAACCATGGTTTTTGGAAGCAGCGCATCTCAGAAAAGTAACAAAACTTAACCAAAAAATGCAACAACTGGTAGTCCATTTCGTTGGGTACTTTATGCCCATATTTCTGTTTGACTACCATGCAGTCACAAGACAGTTTTGCGCAAAAGGTAGGTGCATTCAAAGAATCCGATTTCTATTAAACATTCTAATTGAATAACAATAGCAGCCAAGCGTTCCAGCGTTGCAACTTTTACGCTGCCTGGTTCTAACTGCAAATTTTTGCCCCTGTGGGAATGAGAGTGGGGCTCAGGTTCCCTAGAAAGTACAGGACTCCAACGAGGTTTAACAACTCGGTTTTGTGTTGAAGGCAATCAGGAAATTTCAAGGTAAACAATGAGATGCACGTATTTTAAGAACTGAAAGATAAAATTTCTTTGACAATGCCGTACTCCGGGGATGACCTGTTAAAGCAAATGTGCTACCATGGGGAAGGAAAAGTTGTCAAATGCCCGGGGAGGATGGAGAGGCTTGGGATTGGCCGAGCCATTATTTCTTAAGACCACAATAATGAAGTCGAAAGCTTGAGTGCATGAGGCAGGAGCCACTAATAAAAGTACAGTACGCCATAACGCTCTGACAAGGGTAAGACGTGAATAGACAAGCTTGGAATGCTGTTTGTCGAAGCGCTAGCGTTTATTTAATTCAGTTGCTATCAACTAGTGCCATCAATTCTTGTAACTGCCAATGCATGACGTTGAAAGAAATGTACAGCAATATAAGAGAAGAGAATTGAAAAATCTCGTGTTTTGTGACGTTTGTTTTGATTGCTCAAGGTGGATGTGTATATTTCAACGTCTATTTGACTCAAACGACGTCATCAAAAAAACGTACTTAGAAAACCTAGATTGTAAAAGTCATGGGACTTCTTGATTAAACGAAAAGGTGAGACAAGTAATCCTTCCTATGACCAAAGCGAAAACGCAATCTCACCAGACAAAAATGTTAAACTTGTCGATAAACAATATTCAAAATGGAGGGTAGGTGCCAATTGACAGCAAAGCAGGCAATGAACAAGTGTGGGCAAAATGCAATAAAGGGGGGTATCCATGGCAACCTCCCACGGGTCACCTCCCCCTAACACCTGTCACACTGAATTCTCAGTAGAGAAAAAGTATACTTTCCTGGACACAAGGGCCCACCATGAACCAACAGGCGGGTGGGATGGGGCAAACCAAAGGCAAAGCGACAAGGCAAGGCAGAGTAAAACCACGAGGGCGAAACTGCACAGCAATGGCACAACTGCGCATACCCGCAGCGATTATTATTGATAATCTGATTATTGATAATCTCATTGAGCAATCTCAAACAATGGATAACAAGGGAGAACGACAGTATTAAAGGACGTTTATTTACTTTACACTGTCAAACTATTACAGCCTAACACGGTAAATGTACTGCGACTAATCCTTAGCTATGACACCATAACTAGCAAAATGCTAGTGTAACATTACTTATGTTTGAGTTAAATATTATTTTACGCAGGACCCATGTTGATAATTGATTGATTGATTGATTTAATATTGCAAAATAAGAAACGAGGACAAGAATTTGATAATTTAGCTCAAACCAATTCACGCAATTCAGTAACAATTAGCTCAAGTGCGAGTGACACCAACTGCCGGCTGAGAAAAGTTCTGGTCACTTCCGTCTGGTCTTTTCATGTACTCAACAGTAACTACGAATAATTAATTTTAGGCTATTCTACACTTTAAACTTCTACTTTGTTTTTTCGGTTTTCGTTTTTTTTTTTCTGAAACCGGCCAAAAAACCCCCTGCTAAATTAGCATCTGTACAGGTCCGCAAATGCTCCCGGCCCGCAAATGATCCTCATATTGGACCGCAAATGATTCCAGGACCGGAACTGATTTTAGGAATGGCGTGGACTCCATGAAAAGTCTATGGATGGAAATATATTTTTTAGTCATCCGAGTTGAAGGAAAGATAAGTACCCCAGGCACAAAAGCAACAATAAGGAAAGTTAAACAAACAGCATAAAATACCAAATTGACATGTGTCAACCGTATACACTTTTCGTTTAGAATACATACCGCAAAAGTAAACATGAATCTTCGAAGATGCCTCTGCTATCTTATTACCCGCTTAGAACTTTTCCCTGTACACTTCTTATACTTGCGTCCTTGATAGAGACATGCTTCAACGAAAGTGCACAAGAGTTCTTCGTGCGCGTTACCTAAGTGTTCTTTAGATAGATGTATAACGATTGATCCGTCTTGAATGCAGTACGACTTTTGCTCGTGCAATTTTCTTTTTACTGTTTATAATCTCCTCTGTGCCGAAAGCTTCGCGAAAATGTTGTCAATTCACTCTGCAATTCTCAGTTGTCTCCAAATTTGAGTATATAGTAAACATATCATGCATTTCAGGCCCGGACCCAATAGAGTCATTCAGTGAAGCACCTAGCTGAACTACAAATTTCAAACACAGCATTTCGTGGCGTTGGATATCATTTTTAAAGTTGTGAAATTTGCATTCAGTTCGTTAATACTGTACATTTTGCTTGCGTTGTGAAAACATAGTATTATTACTGTGAAACTCAGAAAAACGTGAAAACTAGAAGTATTTATGGCGTATTGTTGCGTAGGTAAAAGCCAATTAACCGTGAGAAAATTAAACCGTGAACAGGAGCGGCAATAAGTTGTGGTTTTGAGGTTTCCTCGCGTGTTCTGAACTTTATTGTGATTGGTTCAGTACACAATTAATCTTTCAGAATTAAATCAAAGTGTTCACGGTTTTCTGAGTTTCACAGTAGTAAAAAAAAATCGAGCAGATAATTTTTTAATCCACTGTCCAAATTCCTGAGTCCATACGTTTCCTTCCTTTATTGCAAGGTGACCATCGCCATCATTTGCGGGCCTGTACACATCAGCGCTCAGGGGGCGGCAGCGGTATAAAAATGAAAATCTTTCATGGCTCCTGCGCACAGGAATGTTGGCAATTTCGTACACGGTATCACAACAATCTCGTTCCCAGAGTCTTCGTTCCCCTTGACCAGCGGTCGGAAAACGAGAGCTCTGTGAGCAACCATTTTGAAATAACCGAATTCTGGTGATTCTGCCCATCCGGTTTCACAGCGCAGTCTGCGTCTATGGCGCATGCCTGAAATGGTTACTTCCAGAGCTTTCGTTTTCCGACCGCTGGTCAGGGGGAACGAAGACTCTGGGAACGAGATTGGTATCACAACCGATTGTCATTTACTCTGTGTCAGTTCCTCTCTACTCTGGGACTGGTGGGGGACACAGAGTGGACAGCGCTTTGCACTCTTCTTTGGGAAATACGAGGTCTTCTTCATCTTCTCTGAGAACAACAACAGAAAACACAAGATAACAAAAAGCTTGTTTCCGCAACCTACTCCTCAAGTACAGTCGAACCTCTCTATTACGGACACCGAAGGGACAGAGCGAAGTGTCCGTATTAGAGAAGTGTCCGTACTGGAGAGGTCACTATAATGACGTGACTTTCAAGTCTCCTCTGACAGTTTAGAGTGTGCATTTGTAAAATACGTAAGTTTTGAAAACTAACATTTTGGCATGTTCTGGTATTGGTATCAATTAGTATCAATGTTTGTGTAACCGCCGACAGGAAATGGTGCATACCGCAAATTATCGAGACCTGGTCCCCAGAGTCTCCGTGATAAAGAGGTTAAATTTGTATGAATTTGCTTCCTAGGGTCGAGATTTATTGTCCGTTATAGAGAGGGTCCGTATTATAGAGGGATTTTTTTTAACGGAAATGTATGAGAATGTTGTCGGTACACAGGAAACTGTCCGTATTAAAGAGGTGTCCGAATGGAGAGGTTCGACTGTATTCTTGCAATAACCAGTTTCCGTGGAGAATGCCGTTTCAGGGGAATTTGATTCTAATGGTGAACATGGAAATTACCGGATACAT